GAGTTCTACAGGTTATTATTTATCTACTTTTCAAAAAGACACGCCTACTTTGGCAGAAAATTTTTATAAAGCTAGAACTTTTTAATCTTTTATATATATATATATATATATATATATATATATATATATATATATATATATATATATATATATATATATATATATATATATATATATATATATACATATATATATTTTTATTATTATTATTATTATTTATTGTACCGCAACAAGCTATAGCTTGTGTAACCAATTCTGGTAGTGGCGGCCTACATAAAAATTTACAAATTATTTTGAATTTAGTTAATTAAATGGGAGTAAAGCCAATTTCATCGTTAATCATCTTAAAGGTTTTCTGATTCAAAAAATTTATCCAATCTTGCTTTGAAACTATTTACAGTTGTGGCACTGATTATGTTTTTAGGCAATTTATTCCAAGTGTTATCCACACGATTTGTAAAAAACTGATGATGCTGTTCATTGTTTTTAACTAACTCTCTAACTAGCTTAAAGTTATGACCTCGCGTTTGACTTTGATTAAAATTTCTAGGATAAGAGAGCGAATTTACGTTACACCAATTTACAATATCGAAGCCATTTTTTATTTTAAAACATTGTATTAGGTCACCTTGAACTCTACGGTCAAAAAGAGATTGAATACCCATAATTTTTAATCTTTTTTTGTAATTCGATTTTCTGAGTGTTGGAATCAAACGAGTTGCTTGGTGTTGTACTTGTTCAATTAGAATAATGTCATTTTTTGGTAAGGGTTCTACGCCGGTATTGCGAATTCCAAATGAGGTCTCTCAAACGCTGTAAACAATGTTTTAAGAAGTTTGCTATCCATATAGGTGAAAGTCCTGCTTAACATTCCAAGTATTTTATTTGCTTTATTTGATGCATACATAACTTGACTATGATATTTCGTTTTTTTTTTTTTTAAATAATCCATCAATGAGATCTGAGCCTCTAAAAAAACACATTTATAAAATCTCTTATTATCAAATTTTTAAAACTGCCAGCTTTTCTTTGCTTTTTGGTGTCCACGGCATTTGCAGTAATCAATCAAACATACTTTGACTTACTTTGTAAAACAAAATATTTTTTCAATGAGAGTTTATTCACTCTATAAAAAAAATAAAATAATTAGCTATACCAACTTTCTCCATTTTGATATAATTAAACTTGTTTTTAAGCTTCTTTTCATTATTGTAATCTCATCTTTTGACTTCTTGAAAAAGCTTTTACATAATTGAAATATCAGTAGAATTCAATAATGCTACAATTCTTAGATTAGGCGCTTTTCCAAAGTTAATTTGCTCATTCGCATTTTATAATATCCATTTTGCAATCGTTTTAAATAAGCAATAATTTTAAATTTAATAATTTAACAATAAAACTGTTAAAGAACAGTCATTAAAACTACAATTAATAATAGCGCTTTTTTTGGGAATGAATGCCTCCATTATCAACATATTTTATAAGTTTGTCTTATAGTTTACATTATGTTTAATTTTGTCAATTTCAAATCAACGAATAAAATTTTATTTTAATGTATTGAAAATCCCACCGGGCAAAATGTCCGATGACTTTGTAAATTGATTGGACAATCTAAGGTTTTAGCCGGACAATGTCCGATCCCGACTGCTAATTTAAGCCCTGGATGATTTGCAAGGTAAAAACCCACACAATCAATAATTCAATCATTTTCAAATTTAACGCACTAATTCTAATTCTTACTCACCGGTTAATAACATTGCTTTGTGGACTGTTTCTACACAGTTTTTTGCGATGCTGAAGAGCGAGCAAAAGGCTTTAACACACACTATGTTCCTGTGATGTTCTTATGGGTACTTTTACAACATACTTTACGCTCGTCTCTCTAAGTTTGTAAGAATTTTCATCTGCACCTTTCCTACATCTACGTTGTTCAACAGGGAGAACTACTACCTACCATTGCAGACAGATAAGAATCTTGGCTGCCTCCTATTGCTTTAGTATGCATTGAAGCCCTCAATAAGTGATTGTCTTGCTTCATCTATTTGTTAAAAACGTTCTAGAGGAATAAATTTGCAGTCCTCCTCTGATGCATGATTATTTATGCATTTAATCTTAGCAGCATCGTTTTTCCTTTTATTAATTTTTTGCTTTCGAGGCCTTACAGTCACAACTGGCTTGCCAAAGCAATCCACGCACTTTGTTGTTATGCCAAAGCTAAACGCTGATTGGCTGACCTAGTAATGTGAATTAACACCACATGAGCCACCAGGGACATGTCTACTTTTTCCCTCAGATTTACACCAGGGATTTTTCCTCACCAGACACCAGGGATTTTTCCTCAGATGGCTAGATTTTTAAATGCTAAATACTCGAGACTTTTTTGGTTTTTCCGTTCGAAATCATAATAGGATGTAACTTTGCGTTAGGCTCTATGTACTGAGGAAAAAAAAAAAAAATAATATATATATATATATATATATATATATATATATATATATATATATATATATATATATATATATATATATATATATATATATATATATATATATATATATATATATATATATATATATATATATATATAAAGTTAGTGGCATAGCTACATATTTAGCGCTTAAAGCAAGTAAAATTGGTGCACCCCTCTTTTCTCGATGTTAGTTGAGAAAAGTTAAATAGAAAAACTCATATGTTCCTAATGTCTAATGGGTATAGTCGACAATCCTGATACTAATAATCCAGTAGAAATAAAGTTAAGATATAAGTGATCAGATTTGATTCAAAATATCATTTTACATTTCATGTCTTTCTTTGAAAAAAGCAATGCAATTAGTCATCTTATTGGTGTTCAGGGCCGTCCCAAACACCAAAAAAATGGGAGGGGGGGGTATATTTAGGTAAGGTGTCCTACCCCTCTCCCCCCCCCCCAAAGTTGTCATTTAAGCATTTGAGTTGGCATTTTGAGCAAATTTTGAACTATAGTTGGCAAATTGCAATAAATTACAATCCTTTTTTTTTTTGGTGTCTCTAGTTGGCAAAAAAAAAAATACAATACCCCCTCCTCCCCCATGGAAGACCTCTTTGGGATGGCCCTGTTGGTGTTTTTAATCTGGTGAATAAAATAAACATTTTAATGTCCAAAATATACTTTTATGGAAATAAAAATTTATTTAAAATTAAACTTATTTAAAATTAAACTTATTTAAAATTTGTTGACATTTCTAATTTCTTGCACATAGTTTAAAATTGTTTTATTTTTCTACCTTATCTTTTGTAAATTTATTAATCACTTTATCCAAACCAACTTGACAACGAATTGCTTTCTCAATTGGTATAGTGACAAAGAGCTAAGACATTGTTGTGACATGCTGTTTCTTAAATGTTTTTATATTAATTTCAGTTTTGAAAAACTTTGTTCTGCTGTAGATGTCTTTATCGGTAAAGTTAAAAAATGAGGCATACTGCAATAATGTCGGCAAAACTATTTGAGGCTGTGGTTTGAGTTAAAAGTAGCAATTTAGGTTATAAAACAAATTCTTTTAATTGATCATAGAAAGAAACTTTAATTTGAAGCAGTTATGGTCAAAAACTAGATGAAATATCGGAGGGGTATGCCGATTGTTATACCTCCGGCTCCTCCAAAATATCAAATGATATTTTCAAATGCTACAAGATATGTAGATATGTAGGCACTTAAAAATTGTACATAGTTGTTGAATAGATTCAAATCAAATGATTAATTGATTAATCATTATGTCCTCTACTTAGCATTACACCTTGACTTTGAAACGTTATTTATTTTTTTCATTGTAGTCATCTACTTGTATTTTATTCAATTATTTTACCCATTGGGGTAAAATAATTGAATAAAATACAAGTAGATACAACATAATGAAGACGGTCTTTAAACATTCAAAAAACCTTTTATACAAAGAGGTTTGTCAGACAATCTGAAAAAAAGTCGGAAATAGTTTTAAATAGTGTTACATTGTGTTTTCATTATAATTATTCCAACAGTAAGTTAAAATGGCGGCTTTGCGATTTGAAAATAGGAAGTTTTAAAATTTGATTTGAAAGCTTTTAAAAGTTGTAATCTAATAAATTACTTTCTTAAAAGTTAATTTGATTAATTTCTAACAACTGTTTCCACTTCCAAGTAGTAATCACAACAAAAATCGTGATCAAGGTAAAAAATTCGTTTTTTGCATACCTCAATATTACCACGGTGTCTGCCAATATTTTAAGATAAATTTACCTAGTTTTTCCCTAATATAAGTATTTTTGCGGATACTAAACAGAATATATGCTTGTTGCTATTTGTTGCAGCAATATTTTGAATATAAGAATATAAAATATGTGTTTGTAAATCCGACAAATATACTAATAATTTGTTAACCTAATCCAGACATTTATTAATTCTTATAAACAATATTTATGAAATCTAATCTAGACATTTCTTAATTCAATTCTAATCTAGACATTTAACAACAGTTGCTTCCAAAAACACAACACGAGAAAATAATTATAAACTAACTATAAATAATACATACTAAATTTTTAGAGCATTATTTCTTATATTTGAAATGCTTAGATTGCTTATAAAATTTTTGAATGAATAAGCAAAGTGGAAGGACCACATGCATTAAATCCAAAATAAAATATCAAAAAATATTGCCCTCCTATACAGTTGTTTAACAAAACATGTTTAAAATTCATTTACTTTTTTCATATTCATTGATACTTAATTTACGCTAACGTCGCTTAGTGCAGCACTAACATATTAAAAAATAATATGCTGCTAATTAAACAAAAATATACTGTAAAAAGTATTTAACATTAAAAAATAAAAAATTATTTATACCCCAACACGATTTTTAAATAAAAGTTTTATTTATCCGAAAACAAATTATGCTGCTATTAAATTCTCATTCGCAATCAGAGAATTATTATTATTTTCAATGTTTGTTTTCTTTATTTACCACCATTTAATTAAGAAATACCTGTTTTCGAAGCACCTTCTGATAAATATGAAGACATAGTGAAAAACCCACCTGGTTAAATAAACAGAAATATATTTTGAATTGGTTTATAACACTATTCAAAAGTTAAAAATAATAATAAAATAAAATAATTTATTAAAAAATTACCATTAATAATGGTAATTTTTTAATAAATTATTTTATTTTATTATTATTTTTAACTTTTGAATAGTGTTATAAACCAATTCAAAATATATTATAATGATTATAATCATTACCATTTTCATCTACAACTATAATAATTAATTTTTTTTTTTTTTGAATAAATCTGTGGTGTGAAATTTTGGTGTTGATATAATGAAATTAATTTTTTTATAAAGAAAAGTATGTTAGCTAAAAATCCAATTCATTTTTGTTTGAAAAACAATAGGTAGAAACTTTAAGTTTTTACTTTATTTAAAGATGACATTTTTGTGTAATATGAGCATGCTCAAATTATCCAGTGTTTTTCATTGAAATTACTTAGTTTAAATTCCTAAAATAGTAATGGTTTTAATTGCTTTTTAAATAAAAACAAAACAACAAAAAATTTTAATATTTTAACAATACTAAATACTTTTCTGTAATTTAAATTCAAAATATTTGAAATTTTCATTTCAAGGTTTGAGTTAATAAAATTGAAAAAATTATTTACTAATTTTTTTTTGCGGAAAACATAGCTGTACCATTTTAATAAAAAGTGGCTTAAAATTTGATCTTTAAATAATAAGTTTTATTAATAACAAATCATTATATTCCAAAAATTAGTTCAACTTGTCAGGTTGGTATTTTTTTACTTATTTTAAATGTTACTTTTTTTTTTTAAAAAAAAGTAACATTTAAAATAAGTAAAAAAAGCAGAGAGTTTGATGAGGAAGTTAAAATAATAGCAAAAAAATAAACATATAATAAGAGTGACAAATCTGATAAAATTATATAATACAAATAATAACTTAAAAAATGTGTACTTGCAAGATCCTCCACCTCCTTCAATAAATCTATTTTCGGAATATTTAAAATGGCAAGTTTTAACTTTTCAAATGTCGGTTTTTCATCAAAATTAAACCATTTTTTTAACATTTCGTATGCTTTGCATTCTTGGTTTGCAAAACTTATAGAATCGCTCCTAATTGAATATAAACTACGCTCTTCAATATTTAAGTAAATACCAACTTCAAACCAATCCTGACTAAGTAGTTTAGACAACTTAATTTGAAATACTGGATTTCGTAGGACTTCATCCATTTATACTAAAAAACAAAGCAAAATTTGAAATTTATATATATATATATATATATATATATATATATATATATATATATATATATATATATATATATATATGTATATATATATATATATATATATATATATATATATATATATATATATATATATATATATATATATATATATCAGGCCTTGTTACGAGATTTCGCTGCGTAACGGAAAAGCGAAACGCAAATAAATTAGGGTTGTTAACCGGAGGATTTCGTGCAATTCCGGAAAAACAACATTCTTTCGTAAGGAGATTGAGAACACGGAATTACATTTTTTCGTACCGAATGTTACAAAACATTTAAAATCGCCGATGTTCATTTCGCAAAAGCCACTTCCGAAATTTAGCATTTCGCAAGTTGACATACGAAACAAAACTATTTTGCAACATACGAAAGTAGCGGTTTCGGAAGTCGCACTTGCGAAACAAACATTTTCGCCAAACGACGTTTTGAAGTCTATAAAGAAAATTTGTTTGCCAGACTGATTTTAATTGCAAAAATTAACATCTTTAAATCCCAAAATGTTTATAATGAATTTTTATTTTCAGTATAATAACTATTAAACTTTTATGGTTTTATTTTTAGAAATATTGATAAAAAATAAAATTTCTTTCAAAACGAATGTATTTCGGATCACAACATACGAAAGAATTCTTAACGGAAATAAACTTACGAAACGTGCCATAATAAATATATGCAAAGATGTTTTTTGAACTCATTACGCATATTAAAAATAAGAATGATGGGTAGGAATATACATGTTTTTTTTTTAAAGCATATGAAATTTTTGAAACAGGTTCAAATATGCTTAGGCAAATAGTAAAAAGAGGCTCAAAAATATGCTTTAGCTTAAGCATATTTCTGATAAAATATACCTATTTCAATAATTTCTAAAAGTGTGCACGTTACTAAAGTTCTAGCAGATTTTAAAGGTATGTAGAGTCCTGTTTGAATACGCTTTTTGAAGTATAGATCTTAGAAAATATTGTTTTTTAATTTTAATAAGATATAAATTTAAGTATAAGATTGTATAGTTCAATTAGTTAGATACGTGACAATTCGCCGCAGAGATCCGGGTTCGCATCCCGCAGTCATTGTAACTTTTGTTCATCAAACTCTTTTTACTTAAAATAGCATTTTTTGACCTCCATGTTCAATATTACAGATATTTCGTCACCTTCACAATAGTGACAACCTCTCTTCTGTTAGTTATTCTTTTAAGATTGAGTTCATTGTGCTTAATTCAACACGTTTCCCTTGCTTTACTAAGTTCTACTTAAATTATGATAAAATGTACGTAAAACAACTTTTTCAAATAATATAAATCATTTTGCTTTAAATCTTTTGCTTTTTGTACTAGACATCTGTCCTAAATACTTTGTAATAATTTCTAGCTAACTCTGAGTCTAATATAACCATTTCTGGATATAAGTTCCCTGAGGCTCCTACAGCCTATTGTGTTCTATTAAAAGTAACTAGTTTTTGAGTCCAGATATTAATTATAAGCATCTAAAGGTTCACATTACTATTCATTTTCCTGATATATAGAATCCTATTTGCATACGTATCTCTTCTGTAAATTCTGTTTTATATAGTTTCTTAATTATATATTAAATAAATATTACTATTCACTTAGTTGAATGAACGTATAGCTCATTCAGTTAAGACATTTGGCCGCGTAGACCCAGGTTCACATCCCGCTGTTTCACATATATTTCTTCTCTTTTTACTCTTTCTGATATTATTTACCTTTAGAGAGATCTCTCGTTCTTTATAATAAAGTATTTAATTGTTTATCACACATCCTCTTTATACTTTTTAAAAAGAAAGTCATACTGTTTATCTGTTCATTGAGAGTCCAACTTAACGGGATTTTACTGTATATATATGTGTGTATATATATATATATATATATATATATATATATATATATATATATATATATATATATATATATATATATATATATATATATATATATATATATATTTATATATATATATATATATAAATATATACATATATATACAGTAAAATCCCGTTAAGTAAAATCCCGTTAATGTATATATATATATATATATATATATATATATATATATATATATATATATATATATATATATATATATATTAGGTATATTTGTATAAACATTTGAAGAATCATTTGATAACATTTTTTTAATAATTTTATTATTTATTATTTAAACTGTTAACAGTTAATATCTTAAATATATCGTAACATAAAATCTTTTGCGTCTTTTTCGTAACTACACATTCCGGAATGCTTTTTCCGTAAGGAACTATTTCGTAAGTATTCTTACGAAATGATTTGCTTCGCAAGTTTTCTTTCGCAATGCTTTATTACGGAATTTTATTTACTATTTATATTTTCGTATAGCGCGTTACGGAATGTGCATTTTTGCATGTGCAACTTCTGCAATAACAATTCTATTACGGTAGATAAAAATGCGAAATTTTCGCAAGTTTTGTTTTTCGGCGAACAACCCTAGAATAAATGTAACTTTACTCAATAAAGATATTTACTTTGTTAAAAATTAAACTACGTCAGTTGCGTTTTTACTTCATTGTAATTAAATTTAAAACGACATAAAAAACTATTGTTAGTCTTTGAAACAAAATAGCTTTAAATTGAATAATGTTGTTGAAAAAAAAATTTTTAATGTTGATTAAAAAAAAGTCTTCTTGTATTAAAATCTTATACTTATTTAAACTTAATTTTTTTGCTTTTAAATATTCGTTTTATGGTTGTTTTTTTTTAAATATTTTTTTAAAAATAATTCAAATTTAACACTTGTTTATGGATGATTTTCTTTAAGGGATTTAAATGTACTTATAACTAAACCCATAGATTAGGTTTTCCCTTTTTAAAAAAACGTTTGCACTATAAAATAAATGTTGTAAAGAAACAAAATTTACTGCTTTTTCGGCTTTTTTTTTTTTTTCATTTCCATTAAAATATTTTATTTTTATAAAGTGAAACTTATTATTTTTTTATTCAATCCAAAAAAAAAATATAGTCTTTTTCGGTTTTAAGATGTTATTAGCAGAATTAGTTTTTAACAAATATCATTATAATTTTGAAATTTATGTATCTTATAATTATAGCTCTAGTACTAGTTTTGTTTTTAAAATAAAATAAAGATAAGTTGGGCTTTTAAAGAGTTTATTTACTGATCGCGTTATTTTTAATAGGTTTAAATTTTGGTTTGTTTTATAAAAAAAACTCTTCGGCAAATGGCAAATGGAAAACCCAAACATAACATTTATAACTCGAGTTTAATAGAACTTTTTTGTTTTGACGTTATTAACTTGTAATTATAAAATGAATAATGCGCTTCTGTAAATAATGAATGAAACTGTAAAATAATGGAAAAATAAAAACTGGAAAATAATGCGCTTTTGTTCAACGCATTATTCATTTTATAATTACAAGTTAATAAAGTCAAAACAAAAAAGTTCTTTTAAACTCGAGTTATAAATTTTATGCTTGGGTTTTCCCTTTGCCGTTTGCCCAGACCAGTATTTGGAACTGGAACTTACCTGAAACTTAACTGAAATTAAAATAAAGTTATATGTAATACAAACAATTTAAAGTTACTTGAATTAAATTTATTAAATCTTTTTTTATTTTGGAAATTTTATCATAAAAAAAAAAAATGTAAAACGGAGCATTTTAAAATTAAAAAATTTTAAAATGCTCTATTTTAAAATTAAATAAAAGAATTTTAATTAAATTTAATAAATTTATTTACTAAAAACTATGATTAATAAAAAAATATTTAAATTTAATAAAATAGATTGAAATTTTTTTTTTTTTTAGTTGAATGTTTTTAAACTTATGAAATATAAAACTTAATATTAAATATGATAAAAAGTTTAAACTTAAAACACTTATTTTTTTTAAACTAATTTTTAACAACAACAACAACAGTAAAAATAACTAAAAAAATTTTTCTTTAACAAAAAAACTATTAGTTTACAATTGCATTTAAATGCTTTTACTTACGACTTTATTTTACTCTGAATAAACTTCACATAAACGATATCAAATGAAAATTTAAATATTTTAAAAGATTACAGTTTTTGCGTAACGCAAAACTGCTGAACACGTAGGCAAACTGCCTTTTTGCAGGTAAAATGCGAGCTGCATAACGCTTCTTAACAAGGCCTGATATATATATATATATATATATATATATATATATATATATATATATATATATATATATATATATATATATATATATATATATATATATATATATATATTTGCAGCACTTTTGCTGCAAAATTAATAGAACGAATAGTAATGAACATATAAATACTATAATGAAGTGCGCGAATATGGTAGTTTCAGGATTTTACAACATTTTTTATGTGCTGGTACAAAGAGTGTTAAAACTAAAGTAATACCAAGAATTTTTACCAAACATAAGGCAGCAAGAGTTGTACCTGAAAATGTAATTTCGTCTTTAAATTTAAATGCTTGTTGACTAGTTTCAAATAAGCCAGCTTCTGAAAAATAAATTCAAGCTCGTTTTATGAATGTCCCATAAATGTGATAAAAAATTGTTTAATTCCGGCTTACAGTTAACATTCAATAAATGTGATTAGGTTTGTATAACATATGTCGCCAACCTTATTTAAACCAACTTCTGTGAACTCTGATTTACAGCTCTTGAATATTCACTGCAAATGTTCAAATAACAAACAGCTAACTTTGACATAACATTCACTGCAAACGTTACTTTAACAACTCTTGAACTTTACCTCAAATATTTTATAACTTTCACGGACTTTACCCAAAGTTTTTTTCTTCTTTAAATGTATAAATGTATTGATTTAAACATGTTTTTTTTTTGATTAAACCATTAAATTTACTTGTAATTATGTAATGTAATGTTTTTTTAAGCATATTTCTTAATCATATAACTTACATAACCCTTTTT